GAGTTTATGAGTGTCATAGTCCCATTTCCACTTTTCATTCTAGAACTCGGTTGGGACTCTGTAAGGCCCACTTCACAGGACTTTCTCTCTTCATAGATATGTTGAGGTATTGAGACAAATGGACCCTAAATCCAGGGAGCCCTGAAGAGCTAATATATCAATTGGGGGCATTAACCTCATGGATCAATTTATTTTTTTTAATTAACATGTTTCTTTGTTTGGTGTCAGAAGATGCATGTGCTCATGAGAGATAGAGAACATCCCCAGTGAGGAAGACCTTTACATTTCCATGTATGTTTAGAATTAGTTTGTCATTTTTTTGAACTTACTAGAGGTACACTTGCTCTATTGAGATAGACAGAGAAAGTGAGAAAGCAGTCCCAAGGGGAATGTTACACTGCAATCTCATCTCTATTTCTTTTTTCAAGATTTTGGGCACGCACACACAGACACATACACACACATACCCTGCATGTTTCTCAACCTGCCAGTTCTGGGACTTGAACCATGCAGTCATGTTACCAGTTGACTCCAGCTCAGCAATTTCAAAAACATTATGCATCTGGGATTTGGATTGCGGTTACATTGAATCTATAGATCAGCTTGAAGGAACTGGTAACTTAAAATATTAAGTCTTCCAGGTCAGCCCCATGGCTTAGTTGTTAAGAGAGTCAGATCCCACATGGCTGATTACAAGGTTGAATCTTGGCCTTGGCAGCTTGGAAAACATGCCTGGTGCATGTGTAGGTGTGTCCAAGATCTCAACAGGATGAAGAAATGGAGAAAAGGATTGTGGCCTCGCTAAAAGATGCTTTCTCCTCTCCCTATCTCTCTCTGGTGAGTGCATGCACCCTCTAGCAGCATAAAGGAAGGAAGAAAGGAAATAAGGAAGGAAGGAAGGTTGGAAGAAAGGTCTTCCAATTCTTGGTCATATTATTAGTTTATTAAGCTCTTTAATTATTTTAGCTCTTTTATTTCTCTTAGTGGTGTATTGTGGTTTTAGTAGATAGACCTACTAAAGAAGTATACCATTTTTTTTTTTTTAAGAGAGATTTTTGCTGTAGGGTGTGTGCACTTGCCAGATAGACACAGAGAGAGAGGGAGACAGAAAGCAAGAAATCACCCCTCAGGGGGGATGACCATACTACAATCCCTTATCCATTCCTCTCTCAAGATCTTGGGCATGCATGTACACATGCCCAGCATGAGTTTTAAGCCTCCAGGTCTGGGACTTGAACCACGGTCAATTATGTGGGAGTCCAGCCACGTAACCATTATGTCATCTGCTGGTCCTATTTTTACATATTTTGCTTTTGGATGCCACTGTAAATGGTATTGTATTTCTAAAATTTAATTTCCAATTTATCATTGATAGTATACAGAAATGCAATAGATTTAAAAAATTTGCTTCCTGACTGACATACCAGATACGTGGGTATTGATATGGCAGGTACTTTTCTCCTCTGACATATTTATAGACACTTTGCTTAACCCTGACAAAGGCAGCCATCTGGTTCCACTGTTATAACCTGGAGCTTTGTCAGTTCTCTGTTTCAGAGTCCTAATTCCATTCATAGTGGCCGTTGTCATCACAACACCTCATGGGACATTGTGCTATTCCTCTGAAACTTTGGCAAGACCCAAGTGTGCTACAGGGTGGGAAACAAATCTCTTGAAAATTCAGGCACATGGGGTGTTCTAGAATATATTCTCCAAATGTTTTTAAA